AAAATTTATAAAATAATTTGAAGCACTTTTTACAAAAGGAAAATATTACTCTATACACACAAACACAAAAGTAGCAAAAATCATAATGTTAATGTGTCTAATCTAGAGAGTGAATGAACTACAAGTTTGAGTAACTTACTTATTTAAAATATTTAAGAAAATTTTAAAATAAGGCATGCATCTTCTTTATATAACATTTAATTTGTTACTTGCTTGATAAGGTAAGACTTGAACCTCAATATTTTCTCTAAGAATTCAAAGCTACCTTAAAACAGTATCTTGTATTTATTAGAAAAATCACTTAGGTTGTTTAATGCAAAAGGAAATCAATGTATAAAGTAATAAGTAATTTGCTTTCTCTTTATTAAAAAATTTATTTCCCTTCAATTTATTTATTGATTTTAGCTATATCATGTGATTTAATTGATTGAATTCACTAACCCCTCCATACATTGCTAAGGTCAAGAAGAAAGGCGTATGAAAAATTTATTCAGGCCTAACAATATGAGATTGGTAGCTACTTTTCTACCTCTCTTTGTCACTTTCTAGCATTCTATTGCTTATACTATTATATATTTTCAAGGATTAATATTAGTTATTATTGATAACGAAAAGAACTTTGCTTTTATGATTTTGCGTTAGGGAAGAAACCATTCACATCAACAAATTTGGATAAGACGATGATCGATGCCACTGAGACTTACTTTGGCAATTTTCATTGACATTCTTAATGTTTGAATTTCTCCCATTCTTTAATTAAGGAAAGATTCAATATAAAAGCTTTTACTTAGACTTACAATATGAATATTTATATATTTAATCTTGATGCTTGGAGGGATGAAAAATTGCACAGATCATTACTATTATTGATAGAGCATGGTAGATTTCTTTGCTTGTTTCTCAACTCTTTACTCCTAAATGTGCTAATAATTTTCTATAAATATTGTGCTAACTCCCTTTTTCCCTTTTTCAAAGACTTTAAGATGTGGATGATAAAAAAAAAGTTATGACATTGTTTTCCTAAGTATAAAATCTATTCTTTTGCTAAACAAATTACTTAGATAATAATATTCTTGTATTAGAAAATTATACAAATTTTTAGAATAGTCTAGAAAAATATTATGAACAGTCTAGTAAAAACTATTTTCATCTTTTAATTTTAAAATAATTTTAGAGATAATTCTAAAATATTGTAAATATTATAATATTTAACCATCCAATGTAACGGTAGAGGATGCTTATAAATAGATACGATATCTTATTATAAAAGTCAAGAAGAAATAAGCAAATTATTAATTCTCTATTTTTTAAGTGTTTTACTCAAATTTTTTGAACTATCATTTTTAACTATTTCAACTAATATATTTCAACTACTTTACTCATCATTTACATAAAAAAAAAAAAAAAAAAAAAAAAACTATCATCTTGTTTTTCCTTTGACCGTGGTACCAGTGTTAACTTAATGGAATACTTGAAACATAGCTCTTCTAATTTGTTTGTTCTATATTGATGCTTAGGTTCATAGTGAAGATTAAATTTTATAAAAGAAAGAGATACTCCAACTTAATTATAATTCAATAAGTAATAATTTTCATATTGTAATAAATAGTGGTCGCAACTTTTAATACTAACACTGATCTATATATAACATTTATTTAGTCTCAACCCAATTTAAATTTTTTTTAAAATGCTTTCGATACTCTCGTAAGCTAACTTTAAGGCTTGTGCTAAAATAAATATATAAAATATATGAGATTTTTGTTTTCAAAATTTGTGTAAATATTTTGTCTTTAGTAGATTTCTAACTTAAGCAAATTACATTAATTATCTTTAATGTTCATTGAATTTAGAATATGCACTCTGCCACCATAATAGACACGTTATTTAGAATGTGTTTCAATTGTAACTAAAATAGATAGTTATTAGTAATTTTTTGGGTATTACTCTAATTAATATTATTTTAAATATTAATTTTTAGCTACCAACTAAAAGTTTTAATTTTTTTATTATTTTTGAATAATTTCTTCTATTATCTCTTCAATTTCTAAACCACTTCTTACTGCATTTTTTTCATATTCAAATTTTTTAAATCACTCTTGCCATTATATCTAAATAAATTATAAAAAGATTAAATCCTATTTTTTATAATATAAAACCATTAAAATAATATAAATTAATTAGTATCATCTTAGTTTATTTATATTTTATTTGAATGAAAAGTGAAGTAAAAATTAAAAAATAAATTAGAAAGCTTGAAAAAGAAATAATGTAAATAAAAAGAAACATAATAGAAATATTGTATTGTTTGGATGAATAAAAATGAAGGAAGTAAAAAAAATTACTTTTGCTTCTCTTGATGAGTGAAAGAAAGAAATAAATAATATAAAAAATTTCTATAATAATTAAAAATAAAGTTGAAAATTATAAAATTTTTACTAATTTTAGCTATAAAATAATAATTTTAATTTTTACACGATTGAATAAAAAAAAAGTAGAGCTCTTAACCAGCTGAATTTCACCTCTCAACAACACTGAAATGTTTCAGCGTGGGATTTTTTGAAATTAAAATTTTTCAACTACAGAAAATCGAGAAAAACATGTTGCCTTTTTCTTTTCTATTTTTCATATATATTTTAGAAAGTATGAATATAAATACGAAATATGAATACAATATGATACAGATACATAACTAATACAACAAATTAAAAAAAAAACAAACGGTTAAGATACAACATATAAAAATAATAAAATATTATGATAATAAAAAATTTTAATTAAAAAATATAATATGTGATAAATAAGCATTAGCCGTTGGAGATATAAATTCCTTTTTTCTAAAACGTACAAAATATTAACTTTAAAGAAAAAAATTATAAAACTGGTATTCTTAATAAAAAAATCCAAAGTAAAAAGCTTATATATATATATATATATATTATTTTTATTTTCTTTCTATTCACCAATTTTCCTTTATTAAAATATTTTTCTTTCCTTCACTCCGTTGAGTTGAACATTTAAACTTAATGTTTTTAGCAAATATTACCACTTTAGTCTTTTTTTATAAAAAATAAAATGAAACATTTCTTTATTCTTTATTATAATAAATTCAAAAAATATTAATTGTTAAAAAAAATTTATTTTTTTATTAATATTATTAATTGTATAAATTATTAACTATAATATTTGATATTATGGATATTTTTAGAATAAAATTTATATTTATAAAAAATATAAATGATTTAATTATTTTTATAGTCTTTTATTTTTTATAAAAAGATTTTTATAAAAAGATGGGATGAAGAAGTATAATATTTTAACTGTTAAACAAAGTCCACGTTACAGAACACAAAAGGTTTCCACATTCCGATGCCTAGATTCTTGTATCCAATGCCACTTTCCTGTGAAATTTTGATGAGCTTTGTGACTTCAATGCCAGCCCATAAATACTTTGACCATCAACTTACCAAAGATTCTTCTCTCCTGAGGAGGTTTTACACTCCATCCATATTCGTAAATATGATTATAATACTCTCATTTGCAATTTTTTTTTTTTAATGCCTGCTAAGTTCTGGAAAAGATGAAGAACTCTTCTCTTTATTTTCTATTTTAGAAGTAATAGTATGAGAAAGAAAAAAAAAATACATAACTTTAATAAAATTCATACTTTTTATTTTCTAACATAATTTTACTATTTTGTAATTTTTTAATAGAAAAATTTATAAATTTTTTCACCTACAACTTTATATAACACCTAATATTGTTTCTATATTTGTTCCTCATCATTTTTCTTGCTCTTGCGTCTAGGTGCATTATGTCCAGATACATTAACTTGTTTAGTGGGCTTGGCAACATCCCTTGGAGACTCAACTGATCTGATTTTCGCATGTTTTATTGAAATTTTAAGAAATAAACAAGTAAAGCTCGTTATTATTTTCAAATTTTTGTAATAATGTGTTTTATAAAATTCTTTACAAGTTATTTCTTACATTAATTATTTTCATTCAAAAACACCCTTAATAGAGACAAAGTAGTTAGCTAAATAGTAAGAGAGTAAGACAATAAATCCCAATTTAAGGATAATGTTTTGAAAATTCAAATTATTGATGAATTTATTTATTAATAAAATTAGCTATATTTTTAAATTGTTGTAAAGTAATTAAAACATCTTAGATTTAAAACCAGAAGTAATATTAAGTATGAATGCTTATTTGATAGAAATGAATGTACCCAATACTTATGACCTCGATCTGATATTGATGCATGCTAATATGCAAAATGTTTTATTTTGCTTTTAAGTAGTTCAGTTTGTTATTAATAACGTGATTGATTCAATCTAAATTTTAAAAATAGTTGTTTATTTTTTATTTCATTTTAAAAATTTAAAATATCATTCTCTAAAATAAAGTAAACTAAATATACACTATATCGAGCAAACTACATCATCCCTTTCAAATTTAGCATCCTCTTTAAGCTTGATTTGGAATAAGAGAAATTGCGAAGAAAGGAAAGGCCACTAAAGATAATATACATTCTAATGTCTTGTTGGTATAGCATGAAAATAGAGAAAGAATGTATGTGTTATAGGTATGCTTCTTTCTTTTATTTGAGTATAATATATTTTTGTTTTTATCTAAGGACAAGAATGTCTTTATAAAAAGTATCCCTTCCCTTTTTCTTTATTTATTTTTTTCATACCAAACAATTTAATTATAATTGTTTTTCATGGCATGATCTACTTTGGATCACTTAATAGCATAAGCATGTACTAAAAAATCTGAAGCACAAAAAATAAAAGGTGGAAAGGGCTTGGTAAAATAACTGGTTAGGTTAAATTAGTAGCAAAATAAATAAACTACGCATGATCCTTCATTATGAAACAAAAATCCACATGGACTCACAAGTCACAGTCAATTTACATATTTGGTGACCTTAAAACCAATGGAATATGAAAAGGAACAAGAACTATGGTAACATTTTGTACTTTCTAGCATGTCCAATGGTTAACCTCGTTCACTGCTTGAGCTTGATGAAGTGATTGGTTCAACTTCACAGCTACAATAAGTTGAAGGAGTGATTGGTTTACCAAGGTAGGTGGGTTTGTCATCTCCTGCCATGATCACAAGTATCTTGGGCTCAGAGTCAGTCTCTATGTTAAGGGGTATTGCATGTTTGATGTTTTCACCTTCAGCTGTTAATTGAGAAGCATGCTTTTTGTGGAAGCAAATAAGGATCACCAATGCCAAAGAAATCAAAGCCATCATTATAGCTAAGCCTCCAAAGAGGTAAGGAATTGGAGACCTCCATGTCCTAATCTCACTGGCAGGTGATGAACCGTTTATTGGCCTCATGTCTCCAATCTCTCTATATTGGTAGAATTAATCGTGAAGTTGTAGTGGAATGAAGTGAGGTAGTGATGCTACCAGAATTTATAGTAGAAATGGTACATTTTGAAATACAAAAGTACCCTTTTGGCATTGGGAGAAGATTCTGTTTTATGCTTGCCTAGATGCTTAATGCGGAGGTCAAAAGTGCAAAACATTAATGATTTCAGAGCTCAGAAGTGCTTAATATGAAATAAGCACTTAGAAATCGTATTAATACTTTTCCTGTTTTCCAAAATTAACATTTTTTTTGTTTTTTAATTTATTTTATTTCATTTATTAAAATCAACAGTTTTGATGTTTGTTGCCTTAAAATTTTTTTACCAGATTCTGGTTTACCAAATAACAGGCAGGCCTAATTTTCTTGTATAAAATTGTTCATATGCAAAAAAGCTGCAGTTTAAGTAGCCAAAATATGGGAAGATGCATCCAAGAAATTTCTCATCTTTAGGAGTCTCTAGCTACGGTAACTGGAAATGATAAAATATCAACCTTCACTTTGTTGTTCCCCTTAGTAAACGAACAAGATATCTTGCCTAACTCCCAACAGTTTCCAATATATCAATCACTGGTGAATATAGAGGGACAAAAGAAAAATATCTTTCGGTTGTGTTATGCAATTGATTTAGACTTGCTAGTTGACATAGCTTACAAAATCTTTATAATATTCTTCTTTTTTTGTCAACCACATGATCATAAGCAGCTAGAGTTTGCAGCTGGTGGTTGCTGCAACGTCTAGCACCATCTGATCTATGCACCACCTATTCAGTCTCAACCCCAATTTGTAATTTTTCAAAAATACATATGATTGTCTTAGACTTTTCAAGTTTTTTTTTTTTTTTTTGGGTGAAAGGCAATGGTTTTTCTATTTTGTAAATAGTACAAATTTCTTTTGGGAGTGCTCGTGTGTAGATGAGTACATGGCCAATCCTGTTTTTTATTTACTCTTTAATTTCTTTATTATCTAAAACTCCTCCTCAAGTCAGCTTTGATCTAGTTCAGACTTGTATTTTAAAATTTTTTTAGTATGTTCTTGTATTTCAAGTTTGAGACTTCGTTATTGGTCTGGTTTTTATATTTTTTTTATTGCTTCAACTTATCCTCCTCCTTTTGAGTTTTCTTAGATATCCTAGGTTTATTTTTACTTTTTATTTTTCATTTGGATTGACTTTTTTTAAAAAAAAAAAAATAGGCCTTTCATTTTTTGCTATTTTTTTCAAGTTTTTTTTTTTTTTTACCAATCTCTAATACTTATATTAGAATTGATTATGGGTCCAATTTGATTGTACAAGGAGAGAATAAACTTTAAACTTGAGTGACCTGTTTATCTTAAAAAGTCTTGACAATTAATACTCATAACTCTTAATTATATGCTCTTTAATTTGAGACTTTTATTAGCTAACATATGACGCTGGCCTGTGCCGCAAATGATTTTTAAGCCAAATGGAAAAATGGTGCTCCAAGAATTTGACAACAACGGCATTGAAGTGATCCAACCCCCAGCAATTTTCCGTTCCTAGTTCCTACCCCTGAAATTATGTGCATAGAGGTATTTTTTTATATTATAAACTGTTCTCAATCTGTAATATTGGAATATATGTTATAAATTTACAATATGTATGATGAAAGAATCAAAGAATTTGTAACTCAACAAATATGCATAGTACAAATAAAACGATCCTATGTTTACATGATTATTTATATCTTTCAAAGTCAACCAATATCCAACAAATGTTGCCTCTCTAAATAATGATTTGAGAGAACACAGATCACACAAGACACCACCCTGCATGGCTATGTCTTCATCTCTTCATACTCAAAAAATTGAGTAATGGTCTATCTGGGACAGGTATCAGCTTCACAACCCAACCAATTGGCCCGGAAACTGCAGCAAGACCAATGCAAATAGCCCATTGCCCCCAATTTAGCCTCTCTGTATCAGCAAACTTCTTAAGAAACTCAACCATCACCACCTGAAGGACTATTGTTATACCAATAATTCCCAAAAACAACTTGCTCCTATGTATGCCTTTGAAAACATTCTTCTTCTCCATCTTCCTTGCATTGAACTCATTGAACACTTGGCAAAGAACAAATGTATTGAAAATCAATGTGTCATTTACTCCTGATGTCACACCAAAGATAGACTCACCTTTGAATTGAAGGGTCAGCAAAACTGTTATCTGGTACAAAGCTTGAGCTAATAGATTCCTCCACATAACATTGGTGATAAGAGGTTTTGTTCTACCTACTGGTGGTTTGTCCATCAACTCCTTGGTAGGCTTTTCTGTCGCAAGAGCTAATGCACCTAATGTGTCCATGATCAAGTTCACCCATAATAATTGCACTGCTGTGAGTGGCACTTCACCTGCTGAAACTGCTGCTACAAAGTTGATAGCAAGTGCTGCAACATTCACTGTCAATTGAAACTGAATGAACTTTTGGATGTTATTATAAACACATCTTCCCCACCTTAACACTGTGACAACTGAGGCAAAATTGTCATCCAATATGACAATATCTGAACTCTCTTTGGCCACTTCAGTGCCTTGAATTCCCATAGAGAGACCAATATCAGCTTCCTTGAGTGCTGGTGCATCATTTGTGCCATCACCAGTGACAGCAACTACATGACCCTTTTGTTTTAGGCATTGAACCATTAGAAGTTTGTCAAAAGGAGAGGATCTTGCCATAACACAGATTTTATCCACTTTCTCCAATCTCTCTTCAGGTGTGTAATTTCGAAACTCCTCTCCTTCAACCACTGCTCCAACTGTGTCTTGATTAGGCCGAAGAATGCCGCATTCGGTTGCTATAGCCTTTGCAGTGAAAACATTGTCACCTGTGATCATTTTCACATTTACACCAGCCTGTTGGCAAGCTTCCACAGCTGTCTTCACCTCTGAACGACATGGATCCTTAATACCAACAAGGCCTAACAAGGTTAAACCATTGTCTTTCACCATTGTGTTGCCTTCTTCGTCTCCTAGTTCTTTTTCTTCAACCTCTACATGTGCAAAAGCGATACAACGAAGACTACTAGCTGCCATACCTTGAATAATGCTTTCAAACTTCAACATGCTATCATTGTCAAGATCTTTCACAATGCCAGCAGCATCATAGTATTTTGAACACTTCTTTAGTACCATTTCTGCTGCTCCTTTCCAGTGTGCATTCACTGTGTTGTCTGCTTTTCTTCTCAACAAAACTCCACTTCTTTTCTTCTTTGAGTTGAAGGTCTCAACATGAATGATAGAACAGCTTCTTGTCATGTGCTCCATTTCCATGTTCAATTCCAAGACAGCCCATGATAGGATTGCTTTTTCTGTGGGACTACCTGAAAACTCAAATTCAGAACCTGATTTGTTAGACTTGTGCACACTACCTGTTGTGTTAAGAGCCACTCCTTCTTGGATCAGCTGAAGAACAAATGGTGCAACTTTTGAGTACGCACTTTCTGCCACAGGTTCTAGGCCAAGCCAAAACTTGGTCACCTTCATTTGGTTGAGTGTGAGAGTGCCTGTTTTATCAGTACAAATTGTGGTGGCAGACCCCATGGTCTCACATGCAGAGAGCTTTCTCACCATTGCTTGGTCAGCCATCATTTTCTTCATTGAATAAGCGAGTGTTAGAGTAACAGCTAGTGGCAGACCCTCAGGGATTGCAACAACGACAATGGTAACAGCATCAGCAACAATTCCCACAACAGCATTCATTATGTCATCAAACTTGGTCTTGCTTCCATTGAACTCTCTAACCCCTTTATCATCCTCTGTGTTACCTGTGAAGTAACGAACCAACAAAACAACAAGCACAAGGAAAGCCACAAGCAAACCTACCTTCCCAATGGCTGATGTAAGTTTGTTAAGCCTTTCTTGCAAAGGGGTCTGCTCATCAATATCACGGCTAATTGAGCTCATCATTTGGCCCCATGTTGTGTTCATACCAACTGAAGTAACAAGCATTTTAGCATACCCTTCTGCAACCTTTGTGCCAGAGAACAAGAATGGGTGGTGGTGTCTATTAACCTCAACATGATCACTCTCCCCAGTCATGCTTGATTCATCCACGCTTAGTGAATGTCCTTCTATGAATAACCCATCTGCCGGTACTTGATCTCCAATCTTCAAGCAAATGACATCACCAACTACAATCTCAAAGATTGAGATTATTTTCCTCCTCCCACTTCTCACCACGTCAATTTGTATATCATTGCTCACTTGAGACAACTTGTCAAATTGTCTATTCTGTCTAAAGTTGCTTATTGAAGACAAGGAAATGACAATAAACACAGCAAGAAAAATGCTTCCACCATCATACCAACCTTCTTTGAGGCCATGCTCCTTGATGCCAAAGCCAAGGGAAAGAGCTGCACAAGCCAAGAGGATGAGAATTGTGACATCCTTAAAGGCCTCAACCACAAAGTGAAAGAAACCTTTGGCGGGTGGTTTGTTGTAAGTGTTGGAACCAAACACTTGTTTCCTACGTGAGATGTCTTCAGCATCATCATCACCTTTGATACCATACTCAACGTTGGTTTCAAGGGCTGTAGCCACCCCTTCAACCCCACCAATGTTTTTAAGGTTCTTGAGCTTTTTTCCTTTGATTATGTCGCTGAGGCTTGTTTGGTTAATACCAAAGGCATGTTGCTGTGGATTCAAATCAACCACGGTGAAAGATGGTGAAGGTGAGGCTTTTGATTTGTGTTTGGTTTTTCTGTTGAGAGTGAAGTGTGACATAAGTGCTCGGGAACAATATATGGTCATGAATGCAGAGTGCCATCTTTTGTTGGGTGCACTGTTGGTGTTTGGTGCATTGAGTATTACCTCAATGCGCTTCAAATTTGTTAGAAACGTCATTGACATGGTTTTCCAGAACAGAATTAAGTAGAAAACTAAAGGAAACAAAATAATAGTAAAATGAAGAGCAGAAACACACTGTATTGAAAAGGCAACGAATTAGAAGATTGAAACTAAAATTCTCACACAATTTGTATTGGGACAATAGAGTAAGCAATGGCCAATGCTTAGTACGTACAACTGATGTATGTAATATGAAGTCGAGGGGTCCAAAAATATTGGATATTGGATAAACTAAACTTTGATATTTACATCCTGATGAACAAGGGTAGCTTATATAGTAACAATACTACGCGTTTACTTCAAATGGAGATTTCTTAATATCCAAGAGAATGACTCATTTGTTCACCATGAAATGAATGATACTTTCATATTTGTTTTCGGCTTTTGGTGACGTAATCTACGAGGATTCAATTATCAATTAGTACTTTCAATTTAGTTGCAACGTTTGGAATCAGGAAGCTCCGACGAAGTATGAGTTTCGTATGCCTTTTTGGCCTTTCTGCGTTCTTTCGTTTTCTTTTCTTTTCTTCTTTCCAAAACTTTGTATTAATATTGACATCCCAAGTATTAAACATGAAAGTTCCAGTTAATATTTTTAACTAATCAATCGAAAAAGGAAACAGAAAATTAGTGAAGTTTATTTATAAAAAATATTCCTTTCAATTTTTTACATGTTAAATTTTGTAAATTGTTCTTAATATTTTAAATTGTATATTTTATTTAAATTGTTCTTAAGTGGAATCATAAGAGTTGGTGCTGCCGCAGTTCATAGAAAGAGTATTGTAAATCATAAGGCAATGCTATAAGCAGAATCCCTGTTAATGACTTTGAATGGTCAAAATATTAATCTGTGAACTGAGAAAATTGAAAAACAATCGCTACAAACTGAATTACGGAGCAAAGATATAGAAAGATTAAACGGTGACGTAAATTTCAGAACGTTTTATTATCAATAAGTTAATGCTTAATTTAAATAATCTTTTATCATCAAAGTTTTATGAAAATTTAATTATAAATTTTAGATGAATTTTATAATTAAAGCTAAATGCAGCCAATAACTAGTGGGTTACAATATAATTAGATTGCAACTTTAGATGAATTTTACGTTCAATACTAAAGGTTCAAAGTCCTGTTCGCCATTTTAAAATAGGTTTTACCTAACTACTACAGTTGATTCCACATTTTGTTGAAATACTACGTTGATTCCCAGAATATATGCTATTCGTGTGTGTATATATATATAACTTAACATTTACACTAAACTTTTTATCGAGAGAAAATTTGATTAATTTAACCGTTAAATTATTTTTTTTATTATATATTCCAAATTTTATATAATTTAAATATTTGTAGGTTATATATATATATATATATAAAAGGAAAATAAAAGTGGTGTTCAAATTGACTTTCTACATGTCTTAATGACCCGGAGAAGTGTATGTTGAATCCTAGAAGACAAAATTTTGTCACGTAATGTTAATGTTTGACTTGTTCAATGCGACGCGGCGAATGGCAAATAAAATTTCATGATATCATGATGGATAATGTTGTTTAATACATAAATTTTATAATTTATGAAAAGATAAGTAGAAGTGAAAAATGTTAAGCAGAATGTTAATTTGTGTAATAGAATATTAATGTTAATTTACTGAAAGCTTCTCACAGCTACTGCAAGTTGCTACTTGCTATGCCATATCATTATATCATATACCGTTTCTTTATAAATATTTTGCTAGAATATAATATTTACTTTTTCATAAATTATTATTTTTGTTTATTATGTGATTTATTATTCTCAACTGTTGATTTTTATTTAAATTATATTAGTTAAAAAACCAAAAATAATAATTTATAAAATTTACTATTAATTCTAAGTACGCGTATTGAGTCTAGAAATTTTTTTTAAAATATTTGAGAAGTGTAATAAGTAATTTATTAACATTTGCAATGATAATCTGTTTATATATATATGTGTGTAAATATATTATTAATTGAAAGAAAATAAATACTTTGTCTTAATATTATTTATTGATTACTTAATATTTTTATTTTTTTAAATTTATAATTAAAAATATTTTTAGTACTTAAAATAAAGGTTTTATTAACCATACTCTGGCCACACTTATAAGTAAAATAAATTAAATTTTTTTAAAATAAAAGATGCATGTAACAAAAAAAAAGTATAAAATTATTACTGTTATTATAAAATAAATAAAATATTCATAATTAATTATAAAAAAATATATTTTATTAAAAATCTATTTGCTAAATTCTTAACAAATAATTATAATGTTCTATATTAAAAGAGTTAAAAAAATCATTTATGAATTTGTGATCTTATCAAACAGCATTGCGCGGCTGACTTAGTGGGCCCCATTATAGCGTGTGTCTCTTGACATGCGTGGCGTGGAGGTGATTTCTCTGATTTCGTGTTCCCACCGTAGATTTCGTAGTTAAATCAAGAAAGTAAATTAACCCCACGTGTATGCTTGGTTTACCGACAAAAGAATTAACATAAAATATAAATTTTATTCTTTTATAATTTATTTTTTAATTATATTTTGAATCTAGTTTTATTTAATATATAATAAAATATATTGGTTTATAATTTTAAAAAATAAAATTAATCATATATGTTTAGATTTTTAAAAAAAATATTTAAATTTAATAATGCTTTATACAGTGCAGAAGAATTCTTGAATTTTATTTAACTTTAAAAAAAATAGACATCATGTGTTGATCGATCATCCTAGCCAAGTGGCAACGGTCTAAATGTTGGGCAAACATCTAAGTGTGTAGAGTTGGACGCAGCAATATATCTCATTTTCAAACATAATGGGAAAAATGTGAAACCTATATATAAAATAGCAGGTTGAATTTGGGATGAGTTGAGATGAGTTATTCTTTATTTTTATTTAATTTAAAGATTTAATAAATATATATTTTTTATTTTTTATCTGATTTAATTCAGATTTAATTTTAGTTGTGTACCGAATGTAGTAAGTGATTTTTATTTTTTTTTACGTATATAAAGATTCGAAGTTAACACTTTACTTAAAGCGCGATACTAATTAATAGATATATTTTTATAAATTCAAATTTGGTTGGATTAAATTTTATAAAAAAATGAATGAAACAGTGCACGCCTCTACCAGTGGAATTGAAGTGATGCTTCACGCCTGTCTCCAGCATACCAATGTGGCGGTGCGATCTTTTCATGATTTGTACTTTGACTAATTTTCGCCTTCTATGCCATAGTAACAATATTTTCTCTTCTATTTTAACGCAAACTTAACGGTCCAGAGTCAAGCAAAATTTTATATTTTTGTTTAATAAATTTTTTTAAATTAAACAAAAATGTAAAATCAACGTAAGAGGATCCGGGTCCATTTTCTCAGCACCGTTGATCACTGTTGATACAATTCAACTATTCAGATACGATGATCCCGACCTTTCGATTTGTTACTTTAATCTCATATTAAATGTCATTTAATACTAATATCCACATTTTATAAAATTAATAATTTTATTATTCACTCTTCATTTTTATTTAAAAATTATTTTTCAAAAATTAAAAAAATTAATTAATATCTTACTTTTATAAAAAATTATTATCTAAGTTCTAATTTTATCCTTTTTAATTAATTTAACTTTTTTATTTATTAGTTTGAAAATGGTAATGTGTATTAAAACAATAATAAGTACTTTCTTTGAGTTCCAAAGTGATAAGTAATAAAGAATTGTTTTTCAAAATGATGACAGATAAAAATAATTAATTTAAATATTTTATTGAACAATTATAAAATTACTACAGTATCAAATAATAATTAATTTTAAATTTACTTCAATAATTAATTAAAAAAATATCTCTAATAAAGAAGAGTTTTATTAAAAAGATTAATGATTTCTTAGTATTTAAATTAATAAATAATTTAAAATAAACAAAAAATGTTAATAATAAAGTTTAATATGAGACACGAGGTAAATAAATAGCCAATGATGAAGAAAACTAGACTACTGGTCACTGTAATAATGAATTTTTTAATAAGATTTGAAATTTATTCTCTGATTTATTTTATTGTTTTACTTATTTGAAAACAAATTCTCTGGCCAAATAAACAAAGAGCAATCGTACATGCGAATCAACCGATTGAAAATTATTTCAATTTAATATAAGATTTTAAGTTTGAGTATTAATAAGTATAATTATGTTAAACATTAAAAAATTGTGAAAAAAAAAGAGAGACACATTCTTTTAAAAAAAGAAAGGAGTACACAATTAAATATAACATTTGTTTGTTCTGATTCTAATTTTGAAGATGGTATCTGATGAGATTGCTACTGAGAATTTGTACATAAAAATTTAGGGTTGAGAAAAAAATCCAATCTTATAAATCTAATCTATAAATAATGTTATACTAATTTTAAAAATTTAATCTATACTAAATTAATTTTTTAATTAATTATATTTGTGTAATTGATTTAGTATTTTAAATTTATTTTTTAAATTGAGAAAAAAATACATTTTAGGTTATGTTTGCAAAATTTTATCTTGAATATATTTTATAATTAATATTTTTTTATTAATCTTAATTCTTATAATTAAAATTAAGTATTATAACATGATAATTTTATTATTAATTTTTATATCTTGACTACTGTTATTTTTATATTTATATTTATTTATTAAAATATCATAACATGATGATTTTATTATTATTTATATTATTAATTTTTATTTTTATAGTTTTTAATTTAAACTTTCATCATCAATTTTTTTATTAAAATAATAATAAATATTTTATAAATTTCTATAAAATATAATATAGTTAATAAATATTACTAATTTTTTAATTTATCTTGAAAATTAAATTCAGAAATGTATTAAAAATTAGTTTTACCTTAAATTTAAATTTAAAATTAGATTTTGTAAAACTAAATTTAAAACTAGTTTTAACAAAAATTAAATTTTAAAATTACTTTTAAACTGGTTAAAAAAATAAAATAAAATAGTTTAAAATAGTTTGTGTGGTGGATAGATGATAAAAAATAAAATATATGTAAATATTTATTACTTTAATATAATATAAAAATAAAAAAATTATATTATTAATAGATTAAAATATATACAAATATAATTTGATATTAGTTATTATAAAATTTAAATATTTTTAATATAATATTTTAATAAAAATATTTATAGCATGTTTTAATATAATAATATAAAAAATATTTAT